CCAAGAGGTAATTCATATATATAGCAAAGGTTACAGGTCCCAAGACCAGAGTCATGGGGGAGATTGTTAGGATAACTCTTAGGTATCGGCTAACTCTAGTTAGCTTAATTTTAGTTAGGGACTAGCTTAGGTTAGGGTTGCTTGCTATATAGGTGAGCCTGTGTGAGCTCACTAGCTAAGAGATAGAACACTTGTTGTGGAGGAGTGCTTCAATGAGAACGTGAGAGCTTGGAGAGTGGAGACTCGGTACGCCTATGGCTTAGAGTCTTAGTAAAGTTCTCATTGTTCCCGTGAACCATGTTATTTCTTTGTGTCGAATTCTCTCGTGCATGTATGTCTCACTATGTATGTTGTCTATGTTTAACACATCACGTCTCTGTTGGAGCTCTAAAACATCATAAGATGATTGTTAACAGCTCAAGGCAGACTCCAATATGTGACATGTTATGACGATGCAATAGAGAGTAAGAGATCAGACAGGCAACCCGGATTGGGTTTACGTAACCAATGCGGATAGGATCGTGTGCTCTCTCATGACCTTTGGATCATGAGAGAGCACACGGATTGCAGCTCTAATAAGGGTCATGCCCCTGTCATGGGACGCACTCATTTAAGGGTCGCATCACTAGTTAGTATCCATCCTAACTATTAGTAACCTCAGTCCTAATAACTAGGACATTGTGTACAAGTCTTGAAGAAGTAGGGAGTAATTTGCATTCTAACACTCCCACTTGCTACTTACTTACTTCTCTCTTCCTCATTTTTATCTAGTAAACCTAGATTCTGACAATGACATCAATGTCTTTCTCTAGCTAATGGTTTTGTCATGATGTCAGCTATCATGTTTTCGGTTGGATAATAAATCAGCTAAACCAAGCTATTCGTGGCTAGATCCCTGACAAAGTGATATCTGATATCAATATGTTTAGATCTCTCATGATTCTTCTAGTTCACAATTTGTGCAATAGCACTTTGATTGTCTCAAAATATGGTTGTCGACTCGAGCTGGAAACCTAGATCTTTCAATAATTCTCTTAACCATATAGCTTCAACTCCAGCTTTGGACAAAGCCATATATTTTGCTTCCGTGGATGAAAGTGCCACCAACTTTTGTTTCTTTGATGTCCAACTAATGGTTCCACCATTAAATTGAAAACAATACCTAGAAGTAGATCATCCTATGTCAATGCAACCTCCCCAGTCCGCATCAGATTATTCAGTTAAACCGGATGGTTTATCAACCCTTGTAAACACAAGGCTAAAGTCAAGAGTACCTTTCAGGTATCTGAAAATTCTCTTGACTACCTTCCTGTGCATTAATCCTAGATTTGACATGAACTGAGCTACTGAGCTCACAGCATAAGATATGTCAGGTCTAGTACAGACCATTGCTCACATCAAGCTTCCAACAGCAGCTTGATACAGTATATCTTTCATTTCTTGACTTTCTCCCACTGAATTAGGAAAGTCAAGCACACTTAACTTTAAACCGGGTTCCATTGGTGTGTCAATAGGCTTACAGTCAACCATGTTGAACTTCGCAAGCTTTTCGTGGTTAGGAGATCTGAATCCACCCTTCTTCACGATTTCTGTCTACTTGCATACCAAGACACTCATGGATCTCTTCTAAGTCCATCATATCGAACTCCGTTTTTGAGTTTCTTCTTGATCTTTGTAAGAAGATCCAAGATTGTACTTGCCAATATACAGTCGTCCACATATAGTGCTAAATACACAAATGCTTTCTCCTGAGAGTATATGTAAACAATCTGATCTGCATTTTGTCTGGTGAAAGCAATCTGCAGTAAGAACAAGTCAATCCTTTGATACCACTGTCGTGAGGATTGCTTCAGTCCATAAATGGACTTGTTAAGTTTACATACCATTTTTCTCTCAGAAGAGATATTCAACCCTTCAAGAAGGGCCATGTAGACTTCTTCATCTAACATTCCATTTAAGAATGCAGTCTTCACATCCATGTGGTGCAGCTCTAAGTTGTATTGAGGTGCTAGAGCCAATAACACCCGAATAGATGTCATCTTTATCACAGGAGAAAATGTCTCCAAAAAGTCGACACCGTAAACCTGTGAGTACCCTTTCGCTTTTAACCTCACCTTATAGCGATCCACAGAACCGTCTGGCTTGTATTTGATTTTGAAAATCCATTTGCAACCGACGACGTTCTTGCCCGCAGGTAATTCTGTCAGCGTCCATGTTTGATTTTTCTTCAAAGAAGAAAATTTGTCTTCCATTGCTTCTTTCCACTTGACAGATTCTTCACACTGTAAGGCTTCTTGATAGGTGGTCGGCTCTTTGCGAGTCTCTTGATATGAGACTAAACCTCTATGCTTCTTCTTCCTCCTTTCCAACAATTGGTCATATTTTTTGACTCTTTTCCTAACTCTTTCCCCCCTTTGGAAGATAGGATCGATCGTCTTGGAAGAGGATGAAGCTGCCCCCTATTCTGTACGACCAGGGGGTTGAGCAACCAGGGCCTCAGATGTAGTATCGTGAAGTCTGAGTTCGCCCAGTAGTTGCTCGAGGTTGCGAATCGTATATCAAGCTTCTCGCGAGATTTCCACACGCGCCTCTGATAGGTCTTACCAAAATGGGCCGGATAAGTCGCGAGAACTTCAGCTGTAGTAGGATTACTCACAGAAGGAGTGAAAGGAGCTGGTGGAGCTCCCACTCAAGGTGATGGTGTTTCTGGACTAAAGGCTCTCACTGCGGGTGGCCTTCCTGCTAGTGGTAGTTCCACTGCTGGTGGAAGAGGAACTCTACAATCTGGAACAGTAGATGAGCTTGTAGTTAAATGGCTAAAGAGAAAGCCGTCTTGATTATTAGGCGAAACAGCTGATGTCTACTGATGAGGGAAGTTGGATTTCCGAACAGCAAGAGGCATAATCTTACAGATCTACTCTTACTGATTTTACGAGTCTTTTCGTTGTAGCCTATATACTTTGGCTGTAGGAGAGTAACCAAGGAAAATACATACTACGCTCTTAGGGTCAATCTTACCCCAATGATTTTTCTCAATATGGGCAAATGCAGTACATCCAAAGACTTGCAGGTGACTCAGATCGGGCTTCTGTCCATGCCTAAGTTCGTAAGGGGTTTTGGTAGTGGGCAGAGCCTTCGATGGAGATCTGTTTTGCAAGTAAACTGTTGTATGGATTGCTTCAATCCAATAGCCATGCGTCAGACCAAAATGTGTTAGCATAGCTATGACCGAATTGATCAAAGTTCGATTATTTCTTTCAGCTACTCCGTTTTGTTCAGGAGAATAAGGAATCGCAAACTGTCTATGAATGCCGTGAAGCAGACAAAAGTCAATAAAAGCTCGAGATTTGTATTCCAGACCATTAATTGATCTCAGAATCTTGATGCGCTTGCTCAGGAAATTCTCAATCATTCATTTGTATTTCTGAAACTTAGCAAATGCTTCAGACTTCTTTTGAATGAGATACACATGGGTAAAGCGGGAAAGATCATCGATAAACGTTATGAAATAAGTACAGCCATAGAACGTTCTAGTTCTCAGAGGTACTCATATGTCCGAGTGCACTAAACTGAGAAGGTCTGTTTCACGCGTGGCTACTTTGGGGAATTTAACTCTGGTTGATTTCCCTGTGGCACAGGAAGTGGAGAAAGAGAGAGTTTTCAAAGAACAGTTTTTGAGTCCTCGCCCCATGTAAAGCCTGTCTGTCCAATTCCAAGGCATTATTCAACATTGCCAAGGAAAGTAGATTCTCTTCATCCCACGAACTTTTTGCTCCCTGCGTGTTCCGATATCAAAACCGGGGGAGTAGCAAATCGGGGCTCAGTCCCTTCAATGAGTTCCATGAGGACTTCCATTCAAAAGAGCCCGTTGATCTGGTTTTTCCAGGCATGGAAGTGTCTTCCATCGAATTTGGAAAGATTCCATAATGAGAATCGGAGGGTATATCCTGATGATGTCATCTTCCTGCGTGTGTACACATTCTGCACGGTGTGGTGCAGTATACTGTCCCCACTTGCAGAAATTTTTGCAAAACGAAAATTTACGTGAAATTTCTCACTTGAATTGCAGGAAGTTTTTAAAATTTCGCTCGAAATTTTTAAGAATTTTTGAAATTCCAACTTCACAATGCTTCAGATCAACATTGTCAGGTGTTTCATAGGTTCTGACAGTCGAATTTGCTCAAATTCGGATTCGAATTTCGGAGCCTTGTGGAAATTCTAGATCTCTTGTGAATGCTTTCGCAGGTGACACAGAGATGGTTCACAACAATAAGCGTTCTCCTGGCTTTCTGGGTTCAAGCGTCATTTAATCAAAATGGAACCTACTATGGTACCATGTTAGATCATAGGATGCAATAGAAAGTAAGAGATCTGTCACAGTTGAGGAAGTATTGAAGTTTAATTGATGAATGATAACAAACGATCCGGATTGGTTTATGTACCCAATCCGGATAGGACCTTGTGCTCTCTCATGACCTTTGGGTCATGAGAGAGCACACGATCGTAGCTTCTTAGAGCTGCGATCATGTCCTTGTGTCATGTCCATGCTGTGTCATGCCCTTGTCATGGGACACACTCATTCAAGGGTCGCATCACCGGTTAATATCCATCCTAACTATTAGTAACCTCAGTCCTAATAACTAAGACATAGTGTTCAGGTCCTGAAGAAGTAGGGAAGTCCTAATAACTAGGACATAGTGTTAAGGTCCTTAAGAAGTAGGGAAGTAGGGAATAATCTGCATTCTAACATGGCCTGACTTCTACTATAGTGCAATCAATTTATTCACGAAAATTCGTAAGAACTTGCACTATTGTCTTCACTATATATCCATGGATATATTTGGATTCCGAAAAGTACTGCGTAATGGAAATTGTCAAACCATTATAATAACAATCTCCAAAGCATTCATCCTAACATGGAAAAGCATATTTACACGTCATGGAAACACAATTTCAATAACGGATTTACTACCTTATGTAATAACATGAGAAAAAAGTCCACAATTGTATGCAAATATCTATAATCTATAACAGCAAGTCCAACACACTAGATAAAGATAGCAATCTCGATACTGGAGTTCCTCATAACTATCATCGGAGTGTACATAAGTTGAATTCTACATTCTTGATAAGTGTACAATTACGGAATTGACTTCTCCATGCTGTCATGAACGTTGTAGTAAAAGTAAGAAGGCATCCTTTCAGAGCCCGCATGAAAGGCTCTGGTGCCAAAGCCCCGGTACCTTCCTTGTGTACAGGCCATGCACATATCCACCATTTTCCGCAACATACTATTTTGGACGAAGGGTTGACAAGCAAACTTCTCCAGATCCATCCACTGCCAAGTGAGTAAGTGTGAAACCACAGTTCAAGACTTAACACAAAGTAACTTATGCAAGTTATATATAAATAACAAAACTTAGAAACAAGCGTAGTAGATAACTATCCATCAATGTAGCATCATGTATTTGAGTCAGGTCCTATCATATTCTCAGCGAAATGTAAACGTATTGATAATTAAACAATCAGTACAGGTGTAGGTAAATATTGTTCCGTAGAGGGCTGCCTGTACATCTGAGTTAAGATTTCAGAATGAGTTTTGTTGCTTCATACTTAGCCTGAAAAACCAATGATACTTTTCTGTCAGTGAACCATTCGCGTGACGGCATACGTCTTGTATTTCTCAAGTATTGATCACCCTTGTGTGTTATTTGAGGACTGAGATGGGGTGGTGGGAACAATATAACTGACTTTTTTTATCAGAGATATCATCTACAAGAGATCTAACTTGCCGCTGAATGTCATTAGGACAATCACAACAGTACAACCACCAGAAAATATAAGGTTAGCACACGTAAAATGCAAACACGGGAGCAAAAGCGACAAAACGATCAGAATAGAGTAGCATGCCCGTAAAGAACTTAAGGAAACGGCCATATCTAACCGTATAAAACAAGCACTACAAGAGAGAATTAAAATTGCTGAAATGTAATTTCCTGTATGATTACTGGAAAACAAGTTCAGTATGGACTAATGTGTTTAAGCGTACAGGAAAGTCGATTTTAGAACAGTAAAGTTGTTAGCATCAAGGCACTACGTTTAACAATAACTTTCTAGGCGAAACCGTTTATATATTTTCGTTTCAGTAGTGGATATTTGCGTCTAAATTTTTGCTGTACAACTGTGAACCGGACAATCAGTTGGCCAACACAAGATGGAATTGAATTGAGAAAATCGACAAAAAGCAAAAATCAATGAGCTGTTGTCTTTGTATACAACTGCTGGATTAAGATTTCTAAATCAGGAGAATTACTCAAATTTACATTACGGTTAGATTGATATTCCTTACACCTATGAATTCAGTGTTGCTGCTTATGGCCGTCCTGAGTGTAAAGGGGCGTGATATCATGCTGTGGATAATCCACAAGATGACTCTTGTGGATTGATACATCCACTCTTGTGGATGTACTACATAAGACATTGCTGGTGGTAAGATTGACAAACATCTTAATGAACTGCTACAAAAGAGATCTGAATATTAAAAGACAAACCATAGCAGTAACTAAGTAACAATAAACTGTAATTTGGAGTGGTAGTGGGTGCAATATACTTTGGGTTAAGATGATATGGCTTTCCTCTGTGATACAGGAGTCTGTGATACTGTACTAAAGGCTTCAGATATGAGTGTCCAAGCAAAGACACTAAGAGTCGTATGCATTGCTATTCTGGTTGCAAAGCAAACAGAATCAGAATGATTATTTTTCCAAATAAAAATCACACCTCTAGATTGTTCAGAAGATGGAGATGGAGTTAAAATTTTGTTGTTTTCGAATTAGATTGATTTCAGGTGTGGAGAACGCTAATCAGAGAAGTTTTATCTCAATTTATCACAGGTTATTGTCCAGCTGAAGGCAGGGGCTAATGGTAGCAATCAAAAGTGTCAGGAACTCCATAAAACCTTCTATGGTAGGAACTTCAAACAGTATGGTTCATATGAATATACCTAGAAAATTGATGTTCAAAAAACTTCGTGAGATCTTGTCTGAGTCGAGAAACTCAACCAAAGAAGATAGATCAGAAATATAGAGGAAATACTCGAGTTGCTTATGTCGCAACTGCGCGATTGGGCACTAGATATACCCTGATTCTACTGCTCAGAACATTTCGCGGAGTTTCGCTAATAAGTTCCTTCATCATTTTATTTGTCCCTTTGAGGCTTTTGGAGTACACTCTCAACAATTTCAACCTTGAGATGGCTCAAGGTTGACATTGTTGGTGAAAGATATTCTATATGAATGGGATTTTGGTCCGAGATATTGTTTGCAAATGCAAGATGGAAGTGAGTACTAATGTCTACCCTGGAATTCATGATGAAGATCATGAAGAGATAGATCACAGGGAAAAATTGCACCAATTTTTACTAAGATAGGTGAGTCAACTCTGATGAATACCCCTATTTCAAAATTGCTATCTGTTTTCTAGCCTATCTAGTATGGAACTATTATTCTTTCATTTAATTCTCTTCTTGTTAGAAAACTGTTTTACTCCCTACTGCTTCCTACTGCTTCCTGTCTGTGCGGATTCGTGCAGGTAGTGTATTTATAGTTAGGACTGTGACTGTGATGTGACTACGACCCTTTGTATCCCGGGGATGTGTCCCTCCATATCCCTTGTCACATCCGTTACAGCCCTTGTCCCGGATTGGGTATTTAAACCCAATCCGGGACCTATGTATTATCAACAACTCTTAGGATGATCCTTTCTCAGGAACCTCTGTCGACCCATTCTTGCATTGCTTTACTTTCCTAATATGGTATCAGAGCTGATTCTCTTCTGATTCAATTACGCTTGAATCACAAAAAGCATTGAAGGACGCTTCTTGCTGTGAATCATTCTCTGTACTAGTTCCTACAGGGCTGTGTTCCGCGTCGGCCTACTCGCGCACCAGTGTTATTTCTCACTTCTTCTCATGCAGATATGACCACCGTCTCAAGAACTGAACCCGTGCCCTCACGAGGATTCGCTGTCCGGCTCTTGCGGTCGTAATTCCGAAATATTTTTTTTGGAATTGGTGTCGCGTTCTGCGCGAAATCGTGATTCACGTTCTTCACGATTTCGCGCAGAACGTGAATCACGATAGACACTTTGTTGAGAAGTTCACCAATCAAGTTCTGGAAGATGAATTCTCTAGGGGCTACAACACGTGTAGCATGGAAAGATCTCCCCAATTTCAATGGGGAGCATTTCCATTCCTGGAAGAAGAAGATGAGTTGGATCCTTCTAGTGGAAGGATCGATTGACATCATGGAAGATACAGAGCTCCAGCCAATCACTCCACCTGGTTCTACAACGTCAATAACAGGGAGTAAGAAGGAATGGGATAATAAAAACTTCATTTCCTTGGCGTTGTTGAATAACTCGTTGAACGACCATCAACAGCCATTGATTGCTAGCTATGCTACAGCAGCAGAGACCTGGGCTGAACTGAATACAATTTTTGAATCCCATGACCTACCAATGCAAATGCGCTTGAGAGATGCATTGCATACTCTCAAAATGAAGACAGGCGAGTCTGACGAAACAAATCATATCACCAAATTTTGTCTACTTCTTGACCAGTTGGCTTCTGTACAGCAGACTATTGCAGAAGCAGAAGCTTATCGCTGTCTCCTTCGAAGTCTTCTTATCGAATATAGATCTTTTGTGTGTTCGATGCGGTCACAGCACATGTTGACCACTCAATCTGTTATTGCTAGTGTTCTTCTTAAAAAATCACTACCTCAACTCCAAAGATGATGCATCCAAGAAAATCCACTGAGGCAGATTCGCACGTTGAACACTCAATCTGTTATTGCTAGTGTTCTTCTTGAAGAATCACTACCTCAACTCCAAAGATGATACATTCCAAGAAAATCCACTGAGGCAGGTTCTTCATCACGACAAGAGCTCCTGCAAAATCATCTTTTCCCAGGCAAAACATGAAGTGCTTCTATTGCAAGAAGCAAAGCCATCTTGCAAACAAGTGTTGGAAGAAGAAACAAGATATCTCTTATGCACATTCTACAGCACCCGTTATACGTCGCCGCTGATCGTGTTATGTAGATTCTGGTGCTACCCAACACATGGCATATAACAAAAATGTCTTTGTGACATATACTGAACTACCCTCGGAGGAGTTCGTGCGACAACAGTGGAACCCTAAACCCACCCTCCGGGGGTGTGTCCCTTCATATTCCTTGTCACATCCGTTACATCCCTTGTCCCGGATTGGGTATTTAAGCCCAATGGTTAGATGATCCAACTATATTTAAACTGGTAATTAAACCCAACTCTTAGGTCTGAGGAAGATCCTTCCTCAGACCTAAGGAACCTGAACTACCCTCGGAGGAGGAGTTCGTGCGACAACAGTGGAACTACGACCCTTTGTACTCCGGGGGTGTGTCCCTTCATATTCCTTGTCACATCCGTTACATCCCTTGTCCCGGATTGGGTATTTGAACCCAATGGTTAGGATGATCCAACTATATTTAAACTGGTATTTAAACCCAACTCTTAGGTCTGAGGAAGATCCTTCCTCAGACCTGAGGAACCTGTGCCGATCCATTCTTGCATTGCCTTACTTTCCTAATACTTCTTATTGAACAAGTTTCATGAGACCAGGCATACAACAATACAATCACAATTGTTACTAGGTTTGATAGAGCTAGTAACGAAAATGCTGTTATTCCTAACAAAAGTAAGATAGAAGAAAGAAACACAAAAAGACTTGTTTACTACTCAGTGAGGAAACTTGAGCTCCTAGTGCCAAAAGGTGGCTAGGTGAAGGACATATTCTAATGCTAATGTCAAAACTGAAAGTTATGAAGAAGGCAAAGTCAACTTTTTTGTTGAGATAATAAAGAAAGTTAAATGTGTAAAAAGTGGAAATGGTGAAATTCAATTCTTGGGGTATCCACTGTCCATGTGGCTTTTGTTGGAGCAGAAAACAAAGATCTAGAGAAAACAATTAGACTGGAGAAAGTTAGACGCGTACTTTATTTTGTCAGAACACTTGATGTTTAGAACTACAGGTTTTGCTTCTCATTTCTAAGATAGAAAGCACTGTTGCGACATTGAGAAGAATGGACAGATCGGTTTTCAAACAAAATGTTGATGGTCATCTGTGTATCTTAATGTTAGAGGTGAAGCACAGGAAATATAAGAAAGGCTATCTCTCAGATTAAAAGTCATAGAACGTTTGGCATAGAAGGTTGGATGATCTTTCAAATGGTTGGAGGATTCAAGATTCCAAAATGATCACTTTTATTCAGGGCTGCTTGTGCTTCCACGAGCCATCTA